GCAAAGAGATACCGTGTTTCCCCGAAAATGAGACCTAGCATGAATTTTAAAAATGATTTTATTATAAGGCCTCCCCTAAAAAAAAAGTAGTCGATTGCAAGAAATCGTTCCTACGCGTTTTAAATGATTATGATCTATGTTTTGCAGTTATTTTGAATGAAAACTGTTATTCATAAGTAAATGGATGTCGGTTGGGATATCTGTTCAGTGCCAGTTGGATTGCTATTGATATGTTAAAAGTGGTGACCGTACATTTGAACCCATGTGTATATCCGCGGGTTCAGTCTATATGCGGGTGCTAAAACCCATGGGTTAGGGTTAGTATGGGTTCAAATATCCGTGAAACAAAAAAAATTTCCATAGGTGCAATAGTATGCAGGTGCAATTGTCGTGGGTTCAAATGTAATGGAACCGCTAAAAGCGCATGGGATTGAAAATTTGTCTAGTTTGTTGGTTTTCGGCGGTGTGGCGCATCATGCTAAGCGTTAGGAATACGCTTGCCAAGACATCTCCGATTACCTTGCGCGGGTCCGAATCCCATGCGGAAAGGATCATGTTTAATAGAATTGCTCGACTCCTCGCCGTCGTGGGGGGATTCACGTGACCGCTGGTCGGTTACGCTTCCTCCACCATCAAGTCCATGCTTCCGAGACAAATAGCAGGCTAACTAATCTCATAACTGACTTGAACTGGTAGCCGGGCAAAAGGCCATATGATTAGGCCTTCTTATCGGTTTTTATCTCCTCCGGAATAAATATGTTAATCCCATCCTATCCTAAATATGAATAATACGCAGTCAACTATTTCTGTTCTTTTTAGTAACTGTAACAAAGGCCGTAGTTCATCCCGCTTCGCATGGTTCAATCCTGCTTCACATTCCGCGAGACAAGTATAGAAACCTAATTACAATGGTTTTGTTGTTTTTTGTTTTTTTTTTCGTGAGGCGACACGTCATACAGCAGCACTGCCATCGACTGCCATCCAAAAGATTCTAATAGAACGCCACCTTACGATATAAATATTTTTAGAAAATAAAGCACAAGTTGGCGCTGAATAAAAAGTTGCCGTAACATTCATGCCAGACTTCACAGTCTACTACAGTAATATTATAAGATATGCGCGATATATATTTGATAGTAACCTCATAAACACATTGTACATAATTAATAGATGGTATATATCAAGTCTCAACGTAATTTTTATTGGATTCTTGAGAAAATGAACTTATGACTACCGGCAACATTGAGTACGGTACCGGTACCGGTAGCCTATTATTGTTGTCACAGACTACGCAGATATTTTCAGATTCCTAATAAAGTCTGTCATGTGTGTGTTAGACAATATGATACCAATTCATAAATATGATGTATTAGGTGTTATTATTCAGTTTGAAAATCACAAAAACATTCCAAACTATTACTCGAACCTCGAGATGAAGGTGTTTACGAGGGTTGCTAAGCATAGCGCCATCTTGTGTTTGGCGAAAAAACAGATGTCTCATATTCAGATGGGGTAAATTTGAACAGATCGGGAAAACAGAATTCTTTCATCTTGGGTTCGGGTTACATGCATCATGCAGTTAAGTTTTCATATTTACTTCATGAAATAGGAAATATCGTAAGATGGATTCAAGGAAAATCAATTTATAAGTATCGCCTACAGCGAGTACCGGTAGCCTAATACGATCGCGCTCTGCATTGATATTCGCAGATACTCGATAATTTGACAGTCTGTCGTGAGTGTGATATTAAATTAAATTAAATTAAATTAAAGAATGATATTAATCCATAAATATGATGTATATAGTGTTACTATTTTGATTACGAATCACAAATACATGCTAGATAATTATTCATCCCTCGCGATGAAATGTAGGATCGTTGGCCAACTTGTGTTTGCGACCATTCGTCAGGTTCGTCGCATTCGCAAATTTGTCGAAACGAGGAATTAAAAAATGGAACAACCAACGTAATTAATGCATTTAACGTTGCGCATTAAAATTACTTTGTTCTTAACGACCGAGATTTCACAATTCGTTTAACGTCATCATATGATGCTATATCACTTTTCATTAAACACAAGTTGGCGTCCTAACACCGCTTACAGAAACGTTATCAGCTCGAACACGCCACCTGACAGCAATAACTGAGCGATTTCCGACGTGTCGGTTGACGAGCGTTTCGCCGTGATCACAATATTTAGTCGTTAAGAGTCTTAGACAATGATGTCTCGGTGCAATATTTAACAGTGGTTTTCTTACCCACACTCGGAGGACCACTTATTTTACCTACCTATTGTTGCAGCCTACAAAATATATTTTCCTTGGTATTCCATCAGAAAATAAGACTAATTCTGGAATATGTCCACTACTAATCACGTAACCAAACATAATGTCCTATGACGTCAAAAACAACCCCACATCTACCTGTCAATACACCCAAAAACATGTCTCTCGCTAGTACCGGTATCTTTGACTGTCAGTAGGGTATTGGTGCTACTGTACTAGAACAGATGTCGTGAGCAGAAATATGGAAAATGTCTCTGCCACGACAAAATGCAAACCTGCAATGGAGTGTTTCTCAAACCTTGTGAAGCATAGACAATTTTTTCAGAGGGCCTGGAACTAATTGCAAATAAAAATATTTGTTTGATTTTGCCCTCCTTAATGTGGATAATCAAATTTCTTCATTGTTCAGAGATTGCTAAGAATATAACATGCTTTCGCCTTACTATCTGTTATTTGTAGCTCATTGTTAGTTATTCTTGAGGTGTGGCGCGTGACTTGACAAATTCTGAAAAGGGATCGCAGCTTAACAAGTTTGAGAACCACTGGTGTAATGGTATCCAACCCGACATGTCATAGAATTTTACATGTAAATAATTTAGACAGTTCCGCAAAATACATTTATTCCTTTGCATAAATAATATTTATTTGCATCAAAAATTAAAAGAGCAACCTCTCTACATCAGAATAAAAGAATTTAAAATGTATAAATTGAGATTGGCAACTTGCTCTTAGCGAAGGCATAAAAAAACACGCCATGAACACTAAAGTGAATAACATTCAAATCCCTCCTAACCCATTTCGAATTTGTAATGTACGCAGAGAAATACGGTTTTGAAATGGCAATAAAATATTGAATACACAAATAACTAGTTACTGTATAGAGTAAAAAGTAAGGTATTGTTGTTGATTCAAATTTAACTGAAAATGCAATAAAACAGTAAAGCAATCTTGTAAATATTTATTTAATCATTCAATTTTAAAATATCATAAGTTCCTTTCGCATTTCTTGAATCTCTCGCAGGGTAGTTGATACGTCGTTGACCAACGCTCAAATAGAGCGACACGAAGGCCGCACATTGGTACTGGTTCAGCCTTAGCTGAAAATCATCAATGTGAAGAAATGAAAATTGCTTTCCATCATTTTCAAGTAAATATTGGGACTAGAGGTAAGATCGGGCCCAAAAATTTCAGCTCAACCCAGGCCCGTGGGTATTAAACCCGACCCCCAAGCAAACACGAAATTTCATATTTAAAAAAAAAGTCAGCGATAGAGAAGCCCGACTCGAACGTAATGATTGACATTTCAGGCCCGAATTTCGGGCTCCTGTTTTTAGCTCTAATGGAAACCCATTTGATAATTAAAAAAATAAATAAAATATATAGCGTTAACTATATTGAAGTGCTAAAAAAACTTGAAATTGATACTATTGGTTGTTAACTTGGCATAACAATTTCGCGCACGTATACATTAACTGCTTGTCTATGACTGCAGAGGAGAGAGATGGATTAGCTTATCAATAATTTCCTTTGTGTTTAATCACTTCTGATAATCACAGCAATAAATTAAAATTTAAGCAAAATATTAAAATAAATAATTCTGAATATCAAATAAAATTCAATTTTTTAGAAAGAATTTTTCACAATGATAAAATAGAAATCTGCATTTCTGGTCATGGACTGTCAGGTCTGATCTACTTGTAAGACTCTTCTCACACAAAAAATCGATAGAGCATGTCCAGACAGAATAATCTCGTTTCAAAGCTGAGGTACCAATGCCGCAGTAGTAAATCTCATAATGCATATTCATATAAATGTTTGCTACAATTTGTTGACAAATTTTACAGAGTTTGAAATTAATTGAATATTCTGTGGAGTTAAAAAAAAAAATTATATTTTTAAGGCTTCAAACAGTATGAATGTTAGCTTATAAATTTCAGTGTTGACATAACCGAGTGTTTGCATGTCATGGTTGGTTGAATATCAACTATTTTGCAGAGGTTGAAGTAAAAAATACTTCATAAAATTGAAGATCATAAAATTTAAACACATTTACGTGAACCGCCCTGGTGTGTGAGTTACGTGAACCGCCCTGGTGAACAATCCAAACCCTTATCTGCCTCCAACCCTCATTCCCTTTACCCCAGCAAGATTTTAATCATTTTATCAAGATTTTAATCTTTCCGAAAATAGTTCCATGCATGTCCAAGCCTAGTTTGAGCAAGTTTTTTTTTAAGGAAAAAATTCAAAAATAAATATTTCTTCAGCTAAGTTTTGAAGCAAGATAAAACTTTTTTTAATGATTGGCAAGGTTAGAATTTCAGACACATGAAAACTAAATATTTCTCGTTTAGAGAATAATTAAATTTTGAATATGCTACTTAGACAATAGACAATAGACAATAAGTTTATTTCGTCGTGCAAGAAATCACAATACAAATTCAGTATTACAGTACATTTCAAATACAGTAACGGATTTCATCGCAATTGACAGGAAGTCGCGAAGGACCAGGAATGGTCATCACAAGTCTGCGACACCAGGATTAAAAACGAGTCAATAATGAAAAATTGAAATAAGTGAAAGCAATATGCACAAAGAAAAGCTTATCCATTCATAAATTAACCAACAAGGTTGATATGAATCATAATATATGATTTGGGAGAGAAAGTAAAAATAAAAGTCGGGAAAATTCAATTGATATACAGTAATTATTTATTTCTGAACTAGGTGATAAAGAAATAAAACCCATGGTTTCCAGAGCATTTAAATAATTACTAATAACAGACAAATTTTAAATAAAATAAGACCGGATAATTCTCTCCTTTAACCCTTTGGGTAACTAACGCAACACAGAGATAAAATCTATATATATAGTATGATTTCGACAATAGCAAAAAAGTTAGACAGCATAAAGATAGAATTATTATCCCGATCCCAAAAATTGAGAACGAGTGGGGTTCGCTGGCGAGTTGTAAATGTCCCCAATCAAAATAGGTATTCATCTTGTCAAATAATGTTAAACGTCCTTAAACACCTTGGATTGGTAACAAGTTAAAATCCTGGTCTGTAATATTCAGAAGTTGTTCTGCAAACTTCCTTACCCCAAGTTAAATATAAAAAAAAATATATAAAGGGTTGAGTATGAGGACAAATCTGATCTAACCTACGTTTTTCCTGATCTCTGAATGTCTTCGAGAGTGACCGACAGTCCTACTCACTCATAGATATTAAAGAACTATAACTCGTCTTTTATCCCAGAGCTAGTGGCCGCACTTAGCGAAAAACACTTCAGAATATTGACTTTTTTCTGTAGTTTTTCTTTCTTATTTTTTGCAACGTTATCCCCCTCCAAAATCGAAACCATGCGATCAATATTTTTCTGTACGAAATCTCTCCCTTTTCCGATCATGTTTTTAACGATCGAAATGTACATTTCGCCATATTCTTTTTCCTCTGCTGTATGGAAATTTTCTATGACATTTTTTAGTTCATTGAAAACGGCTTCTTGAGTATCTTTTTGCCTAGAAAATATGAAATAAGAACAAAATGTAATAAACTTTTTCAGTTACCGCCCAATAATATACAGGGTGTCCAAATAGTTTCGGCCAATTTCATAACATTACCAATTGCAAATTTGATTGCAAATTTGAATAAATTTGGTTGTATGATAAATGGGGACTACAACATTTAACATCTTGAAAAAAAAAAAATTATTTCATTTGATTATAAAAAATTTATAACTGGGCGAAACTTTTTGGAAACCCTGTATGAATACCCACAAGCACTGAAAAAGTAATAATAAATAAAAATAGAAGAATTGCTGAAGAGTTAAGAAATGCGGAGAGATGTGTGCAATTTTTTGACCCAGAAGTTGTGCCAATGGCTGGAATTGGGGATAACTCGTAAAGGTCCAATGTAATTTAACATTCCTGTCTCATTTTTTTAGGAGGCTGATTACAAGGACTGTATTAAGCGAAGTTCTACAAACCCCCTAAATCCTGGTGGTAATGATTTAGATATACAAACCCTCCTAGTGATGACATAAATTTTTCCGCCAATGAGTCCAATCTTTCCAAGCATCCATCAAGACCAACGTAGATGCCGTTCTCTCGAAGAAATCTGACAATTTCAAAGTGAGTTGTGCCACCGGAGTGTGATATAGGACTGTCAAGATCACCTAAAAATTGAAATTAGAGTTTATGAGATAAGCGGGTCCATTTTGACTGGAAATTCACGTCCCAAGTTAACCATCTTGAACTGTTTAGTAGTCTTCTATAACTTTGCCCAGAGTTGAGTCTCCTTGACTTCTGAGTGAGTGCCTGTAACTTTGCTCAGGTATGAGTCTTCTCCAATTCTTTGTGAGTGCACATAACTCTGCTCAAAGATGACTCTCCCTCACTTCTGAGTGAGTGCATGTGACTTTGCTCAGAGATGAGTCTCCATTACTTTCAAGTTAGTGCCCCTAACTTTGCCCAAAGTCTATTCTGTATCTCATAGCATTTCAGTTGTCGAAACTTTTCTCCAAGTCTCCTTTACACAAGTGCAGTTTTAAGTATTCTGTGGCGTCTGCAGCTGCCACAAAACCATGGCGGTATTTCCATACCATGGCCAAACCTATGGCGACTAACTTTTTAGCTGCCACAAACCATCTCGAGCTGCCGGTATCGCGACAGCAAATTGAAAACCAATGGCAGGTAAAATTTTGCTGCCGTAACCGCGGCAGGTGGGTCGTAAAGACTGGGCTGTCCTTTATGGTGACAAATATTGGGTAAGTTGGAACGTTTTTCTTATGGATACAGTTTTGATGGATTTGGGATTAGGGTTAGTGTTTAAGTAGATATAATTCCACATGATCAATAAAAATCTGGTACATTAATTTGTGAATATACCGTTAATACTGATTACTGAATAGCGCTATAAAACCATGGCAAGAGCTGCCGCGATTCGTTCGTGGCAGGAGCTGCCATGAACTGGTAAGAACTGCGCCTCCCTTTACACTTACCTTTGAAGAGTCTGTACTGAGGATAATTATCCTTCCTGATTCCATATCTATTGGCCAAATCCTGATTTTCCTTTTCACCGTACTCTGCAAGGAATTCAATGATATGAGTATTCATTGTATCAAGCATATACCATAAAACATGAGTGAGATAAATTCTCGCTCCTACTGACTTTTTCATTTTTGAAAATATATTAAACATAGGCTGCACATCTGTGTCAAGTCTTTGCATCAAATTGGGCAAGTTATGCCGAACCAAAATTATCAGCTCGTAAAAGCCATATTCAGTGGTATGTTTCTGATATTTAAGATGTTGGCTCTGGCTCAGCAGTGTGGCGCATCGTGCCATGTATTAGGAACACACACCACTGTAACCTCTGATTAACCTGCGTGGGTTCTCTGAATCCAGAGGGGAATAAATATATGTGAGAGGATTGCTGGACTCCTCGTTGCTGTAGGGTGGTTTCACGTAACTGCTAGTCAGTTACGACATCCTCCATCATCAAGTCCTTGTATCCGAAAACAAATTACTGGCTAACTAATCCCATACCCGGCATTGACTCGTAACCGGACCAGCCATTTTATAGGCTTTCCTCTCCCCCGGGATAAGTATGTGAATCCTACAGTGATTACCATTTATTCCAACTTCTGCAATGATGAAATCTTCAGTTTTCGAGCTGAAGGTTGCCAGTTTTCTGAATTCTTCCTGATGTTCTCCGTGTGGATAAGCGTTGTCAAATTTTATTAAAATTGATTTGAAAGACTTGACAACCTGGGAAGATACGGATGAGCAAATCGTTGGTTAAATGTTCCGAGTTTCCTTACGGATTGTTTTGGCCTAAACAAGATAGTTTAACAAATGTTTCCTAATATAATTCTTATGACTTTATTCTTTTCATGCTTATTTGCAGATCTTTTCAGCAGACTCTGTGCTTAGTCAAGATCGTATCATGCCAGTGTGGGACATGTTCTTTTAATTTGAGCATCTCTTCTTATTAATAATTACTCAGCAACAAAAATGTTTGATACAAATTCTAAAATGGAGTGTTGTGTAGTTTCATCCGAAATGGCTACTGCGCCAACCATAAAGAACTCACTAACGGCAGTGATCTCTTGCATATTGAAATCATTGCGACGAAGAAAATTGAGATGTAGCTTGCTCAATTTCGGGTGATCGCTTGTGCTGTTGTGTGTCTCAGATGAAAATTTGTATAGTTTCAAAGGCCTTATTACGTCGTACTGACGTACTTTTCGGATCGCACAGTCAGGTGGGTGATTGATATATACAAAAATTGTTATGCTACGCCCACTACAAGTACTTGAAGTACGAGACCACACAAGACCCCAAAAATGCTCTTACCTTATCAAAGGTCATGCTATCCAGAGACAAAGCACCAGCCACTGCTAGTCCATTGACTTTTTGAAGACCAGTGGTTTGTAACAGGAGAATTGCGACAAAAACTGTAGAATATAGTGACATCATGTTGTGGCCTGTTTATTGGTATGAAAATTATTTCGAAAGTCAGAAACACCTTTTTCTCTCTGAAACATAAAATAGGTTGCATAAGATAGGTTTCATCCTAAAAAACATGTGCCAATTCTGTTGAGACACATTCCTTTTCTGAATATGATTTAGATGTTTCTTTTTCCTATTTAGTGCTACATTGATTTAACGACAACATTAGTTCAGTATTATAGTCTATGACTTCAATTGGAATTCAATTCTAATACTAATACCAAATTGCCACATTGACCACAAAAATTAGGGCATTTCTGCATCTGTCTGTCTGTAGAATTTTAAGCAATAATTGTAAGATATCCTAATTCAGTAGTCTAATTGTTAGCAAAAATCCTAAAAAACACCTTATCGCGCAATGGTCTATTAGTCCCTATTCTTTTTGGAGCCAATGCCTCATGGATTATAAGTATTATAAATAAAAACTCACCAAAATCCACTCGCGAGTAGAACGCATCAAAAAGAACAGAAACACAACCGACATTATATAGAAACGTGTCGCAAAATGATTCGTCAAAGCACAGGTGCAAATTTCACACGCCGGCTTGTTTATATTCAACGTTACTCAAGCATGAATATTACGTCATATTCCGCTGAAATTTTCATGGTTTAGATAAAATCATTTATTATAAATTTCGAATTTTTGCTGAAAAAAATTTACATCACTCAAGATAAATATTTAAATGACGTGATAGTATGAAAGTTGTCAGTATTTTCAGAAGTATGGCTCGATTCAAATCATATAGGGCATAAAAGTACATGAGTAATATGACTTTGTGCACTTGCATACATGTTTGTGACGACACTAGTCTGATTTTTTTATTGAATCACTATAATGATAAATTTTAATCTTGATCATAATTAAATGTGTCAAAAAGGCTGAAAATATTTTTGAGATTATGCTTTCGTGGGGCTTTTCTCGTACGAAACATTTTTGTTTTGATTAATTCCTTCATTGAAATGTTTATTAATTGTGTTTGGTTGTTATAGTTAGTCAGTTTGTTAGTTTTTTTCTGCCTCTCCACTAATTCTCCAACGTATTTTATTTTGAAATCTTATCTTTTTTTAATTTTACTCTGTTCATCATCTCGTAGGTTAGGATAAATTAGAAAAAGAGAAAATAACCATATTAGTGGTGCTTACGTTACAAATAAAATGATATTAAATTATTATATGATTAAAATTATAGGATGATTTTTGTTCAATTAAATTTTTTTGTAAAAAATATTTTACTGTTTCAAGAACGACAATACCCCCGTCGCGCTTGGTCAGTTTTCGCTGTAGAGAAATTCAGCGTTGCTATAGAGACCACTGTGAGTTTGTTGTTTTTACGTCACTCACGTTCGGTCTGAGCTAATCCGAATAGATCTAAGTTCGTATAATAGTGAGTTATTTTGAATTTTATTAATTGAAAAAATGTCAGATGAATCAGATGTTGGAGAGGAAATTACGGAACCTCGCACTACAGAAGCTGAGGGAGACGAAAAACTCCCGGATAACCCTCTAATACAGGACGTCATACCGGAATGTCTTTCGCTGCTTTGCAAGATAGGAAGCGGGCTAACACACGCTTATGTGCGCTTGGACGTTCACGATAGAGACATAACAGATATACAATTATTGAAAAGTTTTATCCATGTTCGTTATGTGGATCTTTCAGGCAATTTTCTACGGGACATCACCCCGCTCAACCATCTGACAAATATGCTGACACTGAAGGCTGATAAAAACCAGCTTACCAGCCCAAAACTAGAAGCCTTACCATTCCTGCAGATTGCAAACTTTGCCAACAACAAGATCACAAGCACAGAAGGTTAGAAAGCAAGCTTTCATGTTAATAATAAACTATCTATAGGCAGTGTGGCTCATTGTGCTAAGCATTAGGAATATGCTCGTCACCGCACCTCTGTTTACTCTACCTGGGTTTACAGATTCGAATGTCATGCGGGTATGATCATGTGCGAGAGGATTACTGGATTCCTCGTCGTCGTAGGGTGGTTCACGTAACCACTGGTCGGTTACGGCTTCCTCCAACATCAAGTCCATTCCTCCGAAAACAAATACCTGGCTAATTAATCCCATATTTGACACGGACTGGTAATCGGATAAGAGGTTGTAGTTCACCATATGATAAAGCCATCTTATTGGCTTTTCACAATCCCGGGATAAATATGTAAATCTAAGAATTAAACATGAACGAAATCACCCAGCACTTTGTTCCTTCTCGAGTCCCTAAATATGTAAATAAATGGAAGTAAATTTAAAGGAATGCTTGACCACATGACGAGTGAAAAATATATTAGGAAATTTGATGAGTGATTTTTACAAAACACTCAGTGGTTTTTCTTTATTGCATAATATAGTAGTATTGACATTTTCTAACTCATATGTATATGGTATAATTATTAAGACAAGTTTCAACTAGTTAACTATTCTTGTTGTATACCGTATTTCCCAGCTGATAGGTCGCTTTTCTAAACCCAATTTTGTGGCGTGATTTGGGGGGGGTCCTCTTATGGGGCAGGTAAGCTTAAAACATGATTTGTGTGAAACTTATATTTAGTTTAATATTTTTTATTATATACCCGATGACGCCAAAGGGTCTCCAATCATGATATTTAATTGGCTTTATACTGGCAGCTGGTATTTGTCATATTCTTTTTAAAAACTCCTATGTAGTCATACCTGGTACATGGCCACGAAGATAAAGATTAAACTTCTGTTTTGCCGATTCGACGAAAAACGACACAGACAGGAAAACACAGCTGTGAAATAAACCCATGGACGTACAGTGTACTCCTATCACACCTTAATTAGAGGTTATTTCAGTGTTTGGGCTAATAGGTTGTTCAAAATGATTGCCGCTTTTTAACTTAAAATTAACGCTTTATTTAGAAAAATAGTTAATTCTGGGAGTATGATTCTACCAAATAAACATGATCTGGTTATACCCATATAAAATTATTATCGCATAATAGTGTTTAGCTGACCAACAGTAAAGCAAGTTTTCTACCCCGTCCTATTGGACGGCTATATGGAAACACCCCCTTTTTGAGTGCCAAGCAGAGACATCGTCTCATTTGCCGGGTAGACTTATTAGCAAAAATTGACATCGTCTTATTTGCCGGGTAGACTTATTAGCCGTGAAATACGGTAATTAAAATATGTAACTTGGAACCGGACGAGAGGCCATGGTTCGCTATATGATTAATCGGTCTTATCAGCTATGACGATTCCATTCAATTTATTATTTATCCATGTTTTTACAGGAATTGAGCATCCATTACTCGAGCAGTTAAACTTGAATTCGAATCAGATCACATCAATATCTGGACTTCACCCGGGAACTCTGACAAATCTTCATACTTTGGAATTGAGAGGAAATAAACTAGGTAACTAATACTGCTTCTTGAATCAAGTTGAATACCTTGGCCATACTAAGGGTCTTATCGGCTTTCCTCTTTCCCGGGATAAACATGTAAATCCTATCCTAACATGGAATTTAAATTATATTCCAGAGTCTACAGCTGGGATATACCTTCCTAATCTGAAGAACCTTTATCTTGCTGCGAATATAATCAAGTCAATCGAAGGACTCGAACGTCTTGAGAAACTCACTCTTCTTCACCTCAGAGATAATCAGATCTCGACACTAGATGGCTTCTCAGATCAAATGAAGTCTCTTCAATATATTAACTTGAGGTGACTTGCTTTTTTTTTGAGAAAATTGCTCATGAGCGCTAGAGCTAAAATGTGAGGCCTGAGCCCGACCCGGGCCTGAAATGTCAATCATTACGTTCGGGTCGGGCTTCTCCATTGCTGACTTTTTTTTAAATAAGGCATTTTGGCCGTGTTTTGGCCAAGAGAGACCATGGCTTGCAAAAAAAAAAACAGAAGTTGCCTCATCAACATGACACAGACTGTACTGAAGTCTCGCAATGACAATTCAATGAACTTTCTAATAAAATATGAAATTTCGAGTTTGCTACGGGCTTAGACCTGCAAATCCAGTTAATTAGTCGGGCTCGGGTCGGGTTTATTACCCACGGGCCAGGGTCGGAATTTTTGGGGCCGATCTTACCTCTAATGTGCGCCCACTCAGAAGCAAGTGAAACCCATCGCATTCAGTAGTGAATTGGGTGATCTTTGCATTTGACCATTGAATTGCTTAGGATTACTGAGGCTTTGAACCTGACATGGGCCGAATCCGACCTGTTTAGTGATTCAATCTAGCTTGTCTGTTGCTGCAACAACCAAACTAAAACCTAATTTTATGGCTCAATAGCTCAACGAATTTTTTGAAATTGCCATTAATTTTTTTTTTTAGTACGAGGCCAGTGGTGGGATTCAAATTTTTTGTCAGCCAGTTCCATCATACAAATGTCATATTTTCAGGCGGTTCTGTTACAAAGAGTCATGTAATGCTAACCGGTTCGCTTATCTGATAAAATTCCATGAGGCGGTTCTATAGAACCGGTGCGAACTGGCTGAAACCCACTACTGTACGAGGCTTATTGTTTTCAACTTTTGCTTTTGTAATACTGTAGATATTGTTCATTAATGTAACTTTTTGAACCTGCTTTGAACTATTAGTGTGCAACAGGTATCCCGTCAGCCACAATCTAGTCCACTGAGCCATTTTGTGTTGTCAACACTCATTTTTTCCCATCAAACATAAAATCCTAATCCGACAGTTTGTTTGAAAAGGTTCGCACATGGGTAAGAATACATAATGATTTGTGCTCTTGTCTGTGTTGCTTTTTTTGCCATTTTACCCGATGCTCTTATTACTTGAAGGGTAAGCCACATTCTTTTCTCTTGCCTCTCCTGCGACGATCTGGTTGACGCTAATTTTTATGTTCGGAGCTGCAGACCCAATACTTTTTGTGAAATTGGTGTACTCTTTGCGACCCTAAAAATTCATTGAGCGTCCCCTGCGAAGACGTTGACCTAGTAGACTAACTAAAGCTGTATGATTAAGCCTTTCCATGGAATAAATACAAAATTCCATCCTCAAATTTTACTTTCCAGAGGTAACAATATCACATCACTCAAAGAGTTGAACAAACTTGTATCCCTTCCTCTTCTTCGTGCCATCGTGCTGAACGATAATCCATGCCAGGAAGAGGACAGCTATAGGGTTGAAGTTCTTATATATTTGAGAAGATTGGAAAGACTGGATAAGGATGAGTACAGTGGTGAGTATCCATACTGACTGACTGAGGAGTATTTATATGCAATTCTGACTAGTTCAGAAGGTACCGTATTTGTACCAAGTTTGGGTTAGGCCATATTTTCAGGTACAAATTTTACGGGAGTCACTTGGCTAGTCCCCGAACTCGTAATAGAACTAAAGTAAGATAAATTGAAATAAAATTATGGCCTAACCCTGACCCAGGTGCAAATATGATGTTCCGGTGTCCGCCATCTTGGTGCTCATACTTCTGGAGTACCGTTCAAAGCAAACAGAAAGTCTTCACAACTCTGCCAATATGCCCATGAAACCAAATTCTATTGCAATCCGAATTAAGAGTATCACTATGAAATCATATATAACAAGGCATGCGTAGAAACTGGTGGGTAATCTATATTGAACATCTCACCGGGGCTGGGGTGCTTCCTCAATTTGTTCTCTGTGCGATGTATGACATTTATCAAACTGTCTTCAAGTAAAGTCGGAGAATTCAAAATTTTGACTCTGAGTACTTTACCAACCGGCTCTGATAGCAATGAAAACCTAGCCACAAAAATAAAAACAACTTAAGCTAGAAGTCTGGCATAAACTCCACAAGCTTGCTCACGCCCATGACACACCCACGACCTTGACATACTCACAACCTTGACATACCCCCGACCTTGAGAATATAAATCTACTTGCAGGGGAAGAACGCACAGAAGCAGAAGATATTCATGAACAGAGAAGACAGGAAGAATTATTACTGAAAGGGGAGGAAGGAGGAGAAGAAGAGGGGGAAGCTGCTGCAGAAGATTAAATGCTTTAAACAAGGGGGAAACCCCTCCCCACGGACATGAAATTTTTTATCGATTTGTTCCAGACCAGTCGAATGATTGTTATATACAGTTCTGTAAATAAAGAGTATTTTATATAATATTGCTGTCATTCATTGAGGCGTAAGGCAACATCATTAATATTAATTCCATCCCATCACATTAGGAATTGTTGTTGGAGAATTCTATTGCAGAGACATGTAAAACTCTGACTCCATGTAAGACCTTTAGGGGCTCCTGAAGTATGTGCACCAAGATGGCACACAACCTGAACCCTAACCCAGTACACATACTATATTCAGATTGTGCGTCATCTTGGTGCACATACTTCGAGAGCTCCAACCTTCAAATGTTGTGTCCATGAACCACACTATGAGATGCTACAAAGATATATTGTATAGAAATTTTACATTAGATTTAATCGTTAAATCAGAAAATGAAGCACGAAAATGAAATTGTAACGAGTCGAGATTCGGCAAAAAAATAGAAGCATCTAAAGACTGGAAATAGATTGCCTCTAGGCATGGGGTGGGCAACTTCTCTAGCCGGCGGGCCAGATGTGGGAAAATGAAGTCCTCGGTGGGCCGGATTATAACATGAATAGTATTCAATATCTTAATCACATATTTATTCGCTAATGCAAGAAAGAAAGTTATAAATCGGGTTTAAAGTAAAGTTTACACTTTACAAAAAATAGAGACCAAAAAACACATAATGTACTGATGTACATTCAGCGGGCCGGTCAATTCTCTCGTCGCGGGCCGTATGTTGCCCACCCCTGCTCTAGGCAGTCAGGAAATACCTATGAAATCACACTTGAAATGCATGTGAGTACAAGTAAAGCAACAAGTCACAATTTTGCAAAAAAAAGGAGGAAAGAGTACTCGAGTACTGGAACATGTATATATAAATTTCACATTGGATTCAATTGTTAAATCAGAAAATAAAGCACAAAAATGAAATTGTAACAAGTCGAGATTCGGCAAAAAAATAGAAGCATCTAAAGACTGGTAATGGATAGCCAGTCAGAAAATACGGTACTCCCGAAGTATGTGCACCAAGATGGCGCACAGCCTGAACACAGTATGTGTACCAGGTTAGGGTTCAGGTTGTGCGCTATCTTGGTGCACATACTTTGGGAGTGCCAAAGACACTCATGGAATCAGACATGAAATGCATGAGAGTACAAGGAAAAGCAACGAGTCACCATTTTGCAAAAAAAAAGATTGAGGAAAGAGCACTCAAGTACTGGAACAAGGACTCCCTCTAATCATCTGGTTGCTATTGGTAACTTACCAAGTAGGAAATGCCTCCCAAATAAAATTGAATAAAAAAACTGCAACAGAGTGGTAAATATAACAAAGTAGTTGGATTTTGCAATTATTGATAAAAAGGAAAGACTGGAACACAATTTACCCTAAATAGCAGTGGTTCTCTTAGTAAGGCGAAAGAGTGCTCCCGAAGTATGTGCACCAAGATGGCGCACAACCTGAACATAGGATGTGTACCAGGTTAGGGTAATTAGGTTGTGCGGCATCTGGTGCACATACTTCTGGAGCACCGGCAAAGTATGAAAATAAGTGCACATAATAAAGAAATACAAACAATTATGAAATGTAAATATCCAAAATAAGGCGTGTCAGATCAAATCTAAGAAATATTTTTAATTAGCTTAACCCCCCCTCAAAAAAGTGTCTACGCCCCCTTGTGGTGCGCGCCCCACTGTCTGAGAACCACTGCTATATAGCCAGGAAATACGGCACCTCCAGAAGTATGTGCACCAAGATGGCGAACACCGGGACGTAGTATGTGTACCAGGTTAGGGTAAGGCCATAATTTCATCATTTCAGGTCTATTACCAGTTTGAGGACTAGCCAAGTGACTCCCGTAGTATTTGTACCTGAAATCATGGCCTAACCCTGACCTGGTACACATACTACGTTTCGGTGTTCGCCATCTTGGTGCACATAATTCTGGAGTACAGGAAATATTTGTACGAATGATTTAATACGAACATGATTAGGAACACAAAAGTGAATTTTATCTCAAGTAGAAAGAATTCTAAATACAGTATTTAATGTTTATAAAACATCTGAACATAGTTTACCCAGATTTCATAAAAAGTGTTCCCATGAATCAGAATGAAACAGCTCAATTTTGGGTCAAATATCGGGTCACGTGTAACTTTGAAAACTTTAAATAAAATGAAGGAATACTGATTTGAATCAAAAAAAAGTGCAGATACAAATATTTGAAGAATTATTGGTTGCAAATAAAATCGGAACTTACCTCTGCAATACGATTAAGCGCACAAAAAAACATCAAATTGCAATTTTTACATACTGTCTAACATAAAAAATCACAATAAAGTTTGAAAAAGTGAAATTATTTTCTTAAAAAATGATTTTGCAACACAATTATGCAAAAATAGAGATTGGCAATTATCAAATTTTCACTGCATTATTGACCCAAAATAGAAAATATATATCCAGAAATGTATAGCTAAAAACGTTAGGGAGAGAGAAAGTTGAGTAATTCATTTGGCTTGAGTTGAATGCCAGTGGGACTTAATTGTGATGGATCTGATTTCGGGCTCAAATGACCCGTTTTTGACTCGGGATTGAGATGTTGACTGTATTATTATTATTGTATTCATTGAAACTTGCATTTTCCCCGATGGCTGAACATGACCCGTGATGTCATCAGTCACAGATGACTGATCATGACCAGCTGTGAAGGTGAAGTATCCAAGTCGTCTTAGTAGTCAAGTGCTCAGTTGTTATCGCCTATGAGTTAGTTTGATTATTGTTCTGAACATTCATTAAATATACATTTGAACTGAATTAACATGAAAGAAAGCTCAAATCGCCATTAACACATACAAATTTAATTCTGCAAATTTCTATGTAAGATTATAACTACATCAGAGTTCGTAAAGTCAAAGATTAGAGAGAATAAGAAGATTCAGAAAAAGGAAATGTATCGTAAAAAGTCAGGAACCGATGATTTGGAACAGGGTTTTCCAAAATGGGGTTCGTGGACCCCGGGGGTCTTTATGACAGCACAAGGGGTCCCGCAACGATATGATAATTTTGATGTGTCAGCAAACAAATTGAAACAGCACAGGGGGTTCGTCAAAACTAAGATTCACAAATTAGGGTCCGCGACCCAAAAGTTTGGGAAACCCTGCTTCAGAAAGTATTGTATTCTGGCCAAAGAAAATCCAATTTTTTGCATTTCTAATGAAAATTGAAAATAGTTTCTTTGACATTAGCTTCCTGCTTGACGGCTGATGTTTTCTCGGCATATTTGGATCTTCTTGACAATTTCCTCCGTCTCGTTCTCGGCCATTGACTTGGTGAAATTATCCAACGCTTTTTCATAATCTCCTTCGTCCATGTACGTTTGTCCGATTCGCATGTAGGCCCTGAAATGTCAATATATCGTTTCACGCTTTCAGTCTTCATTTTAGAAGAAATGAAATCAGTTCAGTTCGGAATCGCCCAACTCGACTAAGTGATCTGCTAAGTGCGTCCCGGAAATTAACTGATTATGTTCAACATGACTAATATATGATTAAATATTTTACATATTTTATTTAGTATAAATGTGTATATAATCAAAAATCTATTTTACCCTTTTATGTTGCTTATTTTTTGTTACGTAGGGTCTTTTTATCATGTGCGTCAGGGGGTCGGCAAACTTCTTTCGCTCACGGGCCAAAATTGAGGGTTGCAAGTCATTGGCGGGCCGCACATATTTTTAGAAGGTTGAAAAACGGAACGAATGATTCTTTTTATAATAAGAATCAAGCAGTGATACATCTCTCGAATAGAATATACATTTATTTCCTCATTGCATTGCATCTTAGAAAATTCCATTCGACTATTTTTGGCGACATTGAACCCTTTGCACTTAACATCAACTTTTCTGCGTTTTGTTGCCATTTGTCTAATTATAATTAAATTACAGGCTCATTAAACGAGTACTTGTGAATTATTTTCCTTTCAGGTTATAATATAATTTAGTCTACACATGTATCACAATAAATTCTGTTACATAAAGTATATAAACGTCAAAACAGCTGTTTTGGTACTATAATTCAGTGAATCGTCACGGGCTGGATTATACTACTCCGCAGTTTGCGGCCACTAATGTAAGTCCACCTTGAGTTTTTTTCTTGATGAATTGGCGCCACACAAACAAAAAGTTTTAGGAGCTGCTGGCCTAACCAATTAATTTTTGTTTGGCCTGTCGATACTCCTGAAGTATGCACACCAAGATGTCACACAACCTGAACCCCAAACTGGTACACAACCTGAGTTCAGGTTGTGCGCCATCTTGGTGCGCATACTTCAGGAGGTCAGGCCTCAAGTCATCGTTTCTCATGAGGTATTTTCAAGCCTTCACTGTGCAACAGCTTTATACAAGAAGCCACCATTGGGTGAGAAGTCGCTTGGCAGGTTCGAATTCTGTGGGGTATAATTGGTTGCAAGACGTTTGCGGGACTCCTTCGCCATGGACAGGTGGTTTATGAAACCAGACAAAAATCCTAATCCTGAACGAATATATTAATCTTCACTTACTTTGCCATCACTTTTTTATCCCCGCCATGTTTTTTCCCGACTTCAACAACTTTCTCAGACATTTCCCGACATTTGAGTGCATCGTTGGCCTTCATAAGAAAGTTAAGTTATTTTCATATTTAAGACATGTATTTGCTCACCCATGAAATAAAAAGAGCACATATTCTCTTGCAGACACACAAATTTCATTGATCTTCTCGCGTAAACTCGCTTTATTAGTGAATAAAAAAGCTGGACAAACAAATATATGGGCACAAAGAATTATCGACTAAAATTAATAAACGGCATTAATGATTTTGTTTCAGCGGGACTGACTATTCATCCTTTTTTTATTCTTTTATGCCGGTGGATCCATATGCATATAATGCAAGGGTAATGTAGCAAAAGAGAAAACGACTCTCATTTTTAAAAAAAGATTCTTGCTGCACAGTAACACAAATATATTTCTGTAATGTTTTGTCTGACGGAAGTCAATGTTACATAAATATATTTGTGTTAATGCACAGCAAAAATCTTTAATCACTTAGGATAAAAATAAAAATGTTTAGCAAGTCTGTAAAACATCTATTTATTAAAGGCTGCGAAAATATCACTCAGACTCCTATGAAAATTCTCCTGCCACGCACATTGTTATCGACTTCAAAAACTTTTTAGGAGTGACAAGTTCCGAAATTCCCTTTTTATCGACTTTCCTCTCCCCCCTAAAATAAATAAAAACTTGTTACCTTCATATAAGCGAGAGCTTTATTTGAGTAGAAACTGATATCGGTTGGGTCGTATGCGATTGCGTTGTCATAATGCTGGTGTGCGTTTGCAAAATCGTTCTGTTTCAAGAACTGAGTGCCGAGTTTTTTTTCTTTCTGTGCCTGGAATATAAGAGATCGGCCGTTGCTTCAAGATATTCACAGTTTTGTTCCGAAAAATGCTCTAAATAAGCTCCTAATATCATGTAGCATAAAGAATTACATGAAAAATTAGAATACGGGATGTTCATTAAGTCTTTTTACAATTTCAATTTTGTTATGAATTCAGTTTTCAACCAGGTTTAGTGGTTTTCAACCAGTAATTGTTTAAGTATTTGTACTTCATTTATTACATCTATGAGGGTCAAAACAATAAATGGTTTCAATACATTCCCTTTGCAATTTCAAAAAATTTTAAGATGATTTTATGGGCTAATCTTAAATTTTTTTCGCTATATATTCCCCATGCAACAAATAGTTTACCAAGGCTTGGCGATTGGCACATTGAGGTAGAATTAGGATGGCTTGCTATTACATCCTGCGGTAGCAAAAGTAGAGATTCGCAGTTGGTAGATGGAATTTATAACTTTCAATGGTGATGTTCAATTTTTCCAAAGAAATTCAAGAACCATGGAGTTAACTAAACAGTCTATTGAAAAAGGCTTACAGAATTGATTTCTTCGGGGGTTCGGTAAAGAGTCAATTTTCATCCAAGAGTCTGTAGGCCAGGGTTCCCCAAACTGGGGTCCGTGACGACTACACAGGGGGTCCGCAGCGATATTGAGAGTCCGAAATATATACATTTAACGGTTCCATTACATTTGAACCCACGTACATTTGAACCCATGACAACTTAACCTGTATGCTATTGCACCTATGGAATTTTTTTTGTTCCACGGATATTTGAACCCATACTAATCCTAACCCATGGGTTTTAGCACCCGCATATAGATTGAACCCTGGATATACGCATGGGTTCAAATGTACGTGGGTTCAAATGTACGGTCACCACATTTAACATATATCCACTGTTACTTAGACATTCATAAACGAGATGAAGTCGTAAGTTAACGCAATCGCAAAGGGTAATTGTTACGAGACCTTAACAATGAGAGTGAAAAAGTTGTTGTAAATGTAGACGATTGTAGCTTTCAGCGTCTGTGAGGTGGATCTCTGCCACAGAGCTACGTCGTCGGTGATAATTGATTGTATGCGTTGTTGAGTTATCACCAGTCGAGAACTTGTGCGACTTCGCCATGGTTATTTGAAACCCCCCCGTTGATGCAAGAAGAGGCGTGAAATCTAGTCATATGTGAGAGACTATCCAAGTACACCCAATTAAATTAGTTCGTTGTCGTAGAGTCGGGCGGCGAGTTTGATTTTCGAAAATTAATTCGTCTCATTAATGTCGTTTGTGTTGTTGTGTTCTAAATCCAAACGGAACATTATCATTCCTCCTTGGTTACGTACATAAATTGGTATAAAATGTGGGTCCGTAAAAATAATATCCACAGATAGGGTCCGTGGCCCAAAAAGTTTAGGAAACTCTGCTGTGGTCGACCTTGACGCCCTGGCCCGTAATAAGAAAGGAAGTTGGAAGCTGACATCAAGAAAAATTTCCAACCAAGATACTGTAGACGACTATTGCACCCTGGCCCGTAATAAGAAAGGAAGTTGGAACCCAACACCGACATACCTTTTCTTTATCGTTCAAAGACATCTGTGCAATTTCTGGTAGCTCTTCAATTTTTTGTTGTGGTTCATCGATTTTAGGTTCTGGGTCATTGGTTACTGGTTGATTCGTTTCCTCTGCGAATGGGGGTTCATCGAAGTTCATGTCCTCTGGTTTTTCAAGGTCAAACCCAAGCAAGGCACTCAAGGTCAATCGAAGTCTGTCATCTGTCAGATACCTAAGTGAAAATAAGGTTTTGATTTTTTTCATTAGAGTAAAAAAACTTATGCAATATCTATATGGCCTTGTGTCAGTAATAAACCAAATTAAATTAATTAAACTGAAATCCTTGTTTAATTTAGAATGGTTGTATTCCTAGTTTTGTATCATTTCGAGCAATTTAAATCGCACAGTATGACCGAAAAAGGTTTTAGTTTACTTTATAAAGAATGTAAAAATATGTGACCATTCAAACCATAGTCATCCTAACTATCCTACGTTTTCAAATTAATAACAGTTGAATAGCTATATTCCACCATATGATAAACCATCCTATCACCTTTCTTCTCGATAATCCCTTAGTGTGTGTGCACCAGGATAGGGTTAGCCCATACTTTTATTCTAATTTTTTTTTTGGGTGCTCCACTCCAGGTTAGTGTAAGGGCATAATTTTATTCCAATTTCCCTTATTTTATATTACGAGTTCGGGGACTGTTTGTGTTAGCCAGATGAATATATCCCCTGCCCATAGGTTTTAGTCCTTTTACAAAATTGATGTAAAGTAGGTGGAGACTCACACGCAAAAAAAATCTCCACTATCTCTAATATATGAACGACCAAATCTGAAACTGATTCTATGCATATTTTTAAATTTCATTCTTACTTTGATAAATTCAGCGGGTCCTCTCCAAGATCTTTCAGCATGACCATATAGTCTTCCTCGTTGACATGATCTCTCGTTCTCTCATCTTCTCGTAGTCGAGGCATAATCGTTTCTAAGTTAGCAAACGGGTTTCCCAAAGGTTGGCTTACTGATGGACCTTGAGGTTTTGAAGTATTAAAGAGAGCAATGATTAAATAGGATAGGATTCACATATATATCAGTAGGGAGTGGAAAGACGTCTTAATCATATGGCAATCCTCTCAATTCATTTTGGATATGAAATATTTGTTTTCAGATACATGGATTTGAATTTATAAGAATAATATAGGTTTATTTCACTTCATAATCAGGGTAGGATAGGATTTACATATTTATCCCGGGGAGGTGCAATCCGACAAAAAAACGTAATCATACGACGAACCTTGGCCTCTTGTTCACTTACCAGTTCATGTCTTGTATGGGATTAGTTACCTGGTTATTTGTTTCAGATTTATGGACTTAGTATAAGAGGCATTATTGACAATTTGAAATTACATGGTCAACACATTTTAAATAAACCAATAGAGCAGGGTGGAACAAGGTTGATGGCCTCGCGGGCCACACTATTATTTTCGATGTGTTAGCGGGCCATAATAGTTTAACCAATAAAAAAATAACTGCAGATTGATTGATACCAAATTTGAGATACAGGAGAGTAAATTCAAAATTTTCTGACATATAGGCAGCATTTTTATAAAACTGTTGCGTTATAAAAATGTGGATCGCAAGCCTAGGTTTGGACCCCCCTGCAATAGAGTGTGACAGGTCGGAATATTCTTATTTATAATAGAGAATGAAAATTCTGCCAGTTCACACTTGACAGATCACCTTCTAATTCTGCTTCACATTCCTTCAATGCTTTCTTCATCATCTCGTTATCGGCATCGAGCTCAAGTCCTCTCTCGAAAGCTGCTTTTGCTTCTTCGAATCTCCCGAGAAATTGAAGCGCAGATCCTTTCCTGGAGTAACCCTGGGATATAGAAGCAAGATTGGAAAGCTGAGTATTTTCCTTCACGATACATTGAATTATTTTATTTTTTATTGTACAATTTTTCAACCATAAATGGTAGCTTACTTGATTGATATAACAAAACTGAAATACTCTCCCAAACTGATGACAGGTTCTGGCTCTGAGTCTGACTCGTTAATCAATGTGATTTTTATGTTTTGTTTTGGGCAGATGGGGATTTATAGTAATGAAGAAATGTTTTCAAGGTTCCTTGTGGTCACAAGTTAGATGTGAGTCTAACACAGAGGTGGGCATGGTTTTCAGATCAGGGGCCAAAAATTTTGCCCAAGTAGAACAGCGGGCCATGTAAGTATGACGTAAAGAGTTACATTTTATGAACAATGTTTACAGTGTTACAAAAGCAACAGTGGAAAATAATAAATCTTGTGTCAAAAATAAATTTAACCACAATCTCAACAAATTCCTTGAGCTATTTTTAACTAAATCATCAAAATTTGGTTTTGATTTGGTCAGATTGCCAGATTGAATTACCTAGCGGGCCGGATTTGGCTGCGGGCCGTACTTTGCCCATGTCTGATCTAACACAACTAAGAAATGTCCAGACACTCCCCTGAACTCCAAAAAATATAACAAATTCCTTTTTTATTTCTGGAACAATGCCCAATCAGCAAGAAGTCATCGATTACGTACAACTCCAATTTTTTCTGTCGCTCAGACAGATATTTAAGTACGATTGTAAACATTGGCTCGATTTTGCGTTTCACTTCTCAGTTTTCAGTTGTGCTTCATCAAATTACAATTTTGTCATACAGAAAAACAAGGGATCAGTATGGGTGAACAAAGGCAACGCGCTAGCAACTTTGCCTCTACAAAGAATTAGGAGTCGGATTCGGAGTCAGAACCCGGAGTCAGTTTGATAACAGTTTCTAATCAATCAAACCAAACGAATAAGCTACCATTTGTGGTGGCAATTATTAATATCAAATTTCACATACTATTCAAACTGTACCGAAACCACAGAGCGACTTGCAATTATCATTAGCTAATTATCACTGAAAAATTGAACAACAAATAAGCTTTCATTGTAAGATAAGGGTGGAATAACAAGACAGGAGAAGGCATGTAGCGAAAGAAGCTTAGGAACAACTGAGTTAGGGCCTTATTAAGAGTAGGTATATGAAATAAACATTAACCATTTGCTCTAAACGGTTCCAAATAGTCAAATTATGAGCAAATGGAACTCCCAAATATTATCTCATAAAGCGTTTTATTTTGTATTGTTTGCTAATAAATCTAACATTTATTTCATCTGTTGTATCATAAAAACAAATTATGGATTGGTATATTGTTGATATTTCTACCAATAAAAACTCACCTTAGGCCAATCTGGTCTTAGTTTAACAACTTGTTCTGCATCATTTAATGATTCTGCATAATTTTCCAACTTGGCATGGGCAGCAGCTCTGTTACTGTATAACACATGGTTTGTGCTGTCGAGAGATATTCCCTGCAAAAAGCAACAAAACGAGTTATCTTTGGGCAGCAGCTCTGTTGCTGCATAACACATGGTTTGTGCTGCCAAGAGATTAGCCCTTTTCTTATACAACTCACCATAAATGGTAGTTTTCTATCAATGATATTATACATATAATACAGTAAAATGGGTCTGATGTCGACAAACGCAGCTATAATCTTTCCTTTTTTTATTTACAAATTTGGCCAATTTCTCACATCTATGAGCAGGAGCTGTTAGGGACAAAGAAGTAAAATTTCTGCTTGATGGCACTGCACTGGTTTACCGGTCCAGCAGTAGGGCAATATTTTTGCCCATGATTAGCCTATCCCCCACTGGATCCGAACCTTTATTATTTTTGGAATTGTAAAACTGTGCCGTAATTGTAAAAATGATTATACCAGAGTATATTCTTCCACTGCTTCCTGGTTCATGTTCTGTTCCATAAATTTGTTTCCCGTTTTTTTGTATTCATTTGCTTTCTCCTGTGGATAAAATATAAGCATTACAAGCAGAATAGACCATCAAGAAATAAAAAAAATCAACAAATAAGTTATTTATTCAAACCTTGTCTGTCTTTTCTCCCCCTTCAGCCATTTTCCTTTCAAATTATTCGCTCAACAAAAAGAATCAGCTAAACAGTTTAGAACTCGCCAACAGCAACATACAAACAGTAAGGTTCCTCATTTGGAGGCGGGGCTAATTTAGTCACGTGATTTGTCTATAAAAAAAATATTGCGTGTTCTTGATATCGTATTATTCAAGTTAGTACAAAAGATATGATTAGATACCCTGTTTCGATCTAACAAGCTTACAAAGCTAAAGTTAGAATTAAAGGGCACGAAGGTGCTAAACTTGGGAACAAGAGAAATTCCCGTCAGTGAAAAAGCTTTTCAAGAATTAGATTTTCTCATGCTTGTCTCTGGGCGAAAAAAAACGAAAATACAGCCTAATAATATGGCGTACCAAGGCCTCGCGTCCGATTGTCAGCTCATGTCTAATATGGTAAGGATCAACTAGCGATTTGTACCAGAAGCCCATGCTTCCGAAAAATAAAAATAAAGAACTAATCCCATACCCGACATGGAATGGTACCTGGACGAGAAGCCGTGGTTTGTCATATGATGAATCCATCCTATTCCAGTATTCGACTTTCCTTTTCCCGGGATAAATAATATGTAAATCCTATCCTATGCATGGTTTTATTGGCAGAGGACAGCGGAGATCGAGAAAGTCTACCTCACGTAATCATCTCTCGCGGGATACGAAGCGGCGCGGAAAAATCAGATTTATTACCCGTATTTTTAAATTAATATTGCTAAATTTATTATTCTAACATATTTAAAACTTTTTGGGCGTACTCGAACTTGTATTATTGAAAAACTGAGGTTTAAAAATATCTGCTAATATCTGTAAAAATTAATCACAACCGCGAGATGACAGTAGCAAGCTAAATTTTACAGTCACTGATTTTGCATCCAAGACAACAGAAACGCTCGCCCTTCAGATCATTCGGTCGAGTCTGTGCTTCAACGTTCGTCTCTCACGCTTTTCTGCAATGGCTAGCTTAAACAATTAGGTGTAGGTCAATTCTAACTTTGGAGTTTTTAGACTCAGATGAAAAAAATCTATCATATGAAGAACAGCAATAGATAATGGTTAAATGCGGAAAGATACGGATAGTGAGTTGCAAAAGTCAGAAAGTCTATAGTCTATTTCCAATTTTTTTAGTTCACCGTATCACCGTAATGCTGTAATGCAGTACCGGTAATGTCTTTGCACTCAATGCACACAAAATTTAAACGTGCTCATTTTATGTGTTATGAATTTCTTGCCTAAATACATTAACATAAAATAGCATTTCAATATACAGATATATAAGTGCAAATTTGGATTAATTATTTAAAATTAAATCAGTTAATGGTTTCTGGAAACCAATCTAAAACTTGAAATTGGATGAATTGTTGAAATAGAGCAGGAAAAAATACTAAAATTGGATGAACGCGCAGGAAACTATGCCAGAAACAAGACCAAATCAGGAGTTTTGGTTCAAAAGTTCACAGAAGGATATAAGTTTTGAAGAACTTTATCAAGTTGGCTCTGAAATTGGAAGGTGAATTTGATTTTACTTGTTGAAATAGTTTGGTGCTAATATAGCCTACACTGCTCATTTAGTACTTTCATGTCTCATGTTTAAACTGTTCAAATATTAATCGACGGTTTGGTTCATCATGCCAAGCGTTAGAGATACGCTTGTCACCACACTCTCCGTTGGTTTGCAGGTGCCGCCGTGGGTGGTTCATGTAATCGCTGGTCGGTTATGGTTTCCTCCACCATCATGTATCTGATACAAGTAATTGGTTAACTTAACCCATACCGATATGACTAAGTCGCCTTATCTGCGTTCCCTCTTTACCATCGAATGTATATGTAAATCCTACCCTACCAAATATACTAGTAGCTATACCACAATACTCTTAGCTGGAGCCTATTGGCTGATTAGAGAGTGTTTTGTCATGTTTTTGTTACTATATTCTATGTCGCAGCATAAGAACATGCATGTAGTACTTTTGAACTCATGTAAACATGAAAATCACTGATGCATGACTGGACGGAATCATTTTTTATTCTGTCCATCATGCCTGAATGCTTTTTTCTTGAATTGAAAATGAAATGTGTCAATTATACTGGTTGTCTAAATCAGGGGTGTGCAACAGTCGGTCACAACTGGGCCCGCCAAGCCATTTAGTGTTGTCCTTATCAACACTCCGATTTCCTCATCAAGTTCAAAATCCTAATCCGACAAGGAATCGAAAATATTTAGGATCTAAAACTTCGCATTGTGGGAATTTTTTATTTGCGTGAAAAACCATATTTTGGGTGGCCTAACTAGTTTTCTGAATTTGGTTTTATGGCCCAATGACAAAAAATGTTGCACACCCCTGGTTTTAAGTTTCATTTTGATAGATAACTAGACTAATATTTTATAAAAAAAAAAATTTCTAGGGGGGCAACATCAATCGTACACAAATGCAAGCAAAAAGGAACTGGGAAGGCTTATGCTGTTAAAATGATCCCGAAAAGTGTAAGAAAATTATTGCTTTGTTTATGTTTATTGTTGCTAACTAAAACTTTCAAGTCATACAAGTCCCAAGATACAAATAGGACGTTTGTTTCATCATGCAAGAATCAATGTAAAACAATAAAAATATATAAAAATAACAAAACAAAAAACGGAAAAACGCAAAAGCCTCGGTGAGCCATCCAGTCAGCGACACCTTAGGTCTGAGTCAAGTCGAGTTTATTCCAAACTACAATCCCTTATTTGTGTTATGTCAATGCACAGGGGCGTAGCCAGACATTTTCAAATGGGGGGGGGGGTTCTAAAAAAATTTTCGCCAAGTTAGATCGAAACAGCTAGCGGATCTGATCGAACGCTGGAACACGCTGTTTTTAGTAGTCTTGGGGTCTAAAAAGCATTTAAATCTACGGAAAATTGCTATCTATGACACAGAAAATTGATTTCATTTTTTTTACATTTCAAAAGGGGGGGTTTCGACCCGCAAAACCACCTCCCTGGCTACGGCACTGTCAATGCATACCTGATGTCAGGTCGAGTTATTCCGTTGAAAAAAACGAGATATTTTAAATTTGTAAAAGGGGTGACTGGAGGACTTGGGTATCCCCATCACTGGCAGAGTGGGATAGATAAATCAGGTTAGCTTATGGCCTGCGCGGGGCGGATCTATCTCACTGTAGTGTTCCATCCAGCCTACTTATAGGATAGGATTTACATATTTAAAACGGCGATAGATGGATAGATAATGATTTATTTCCGATACAAGTACATAATACAGCAAGCATGAGCAAACAACAATAGGCATAAAAATATATACGGAAGGGGAAGGACAAGACTTCCAAGGTCAACAAGGTCGACCGATCCCTAAGGAGAGATTCTACCAGGAAAGGACACTCTAAAGCAGGCATTGTAGGATAGGATTTACATATTTATCCCGGGGGAGAGGAAAGCCAATAAGACGGTTTAACTATATGGCGAACCACGGCCTCTCGTCCGGTTACCACTCCAGGTCGGGTATGGGATTAGATGTTTGTTTTTGGAAGCATGGACTTGATGGTGGAGGAAGTCGTAACCGACCAGCGATTACGTGAACCATCCTACGGCGGCGAGGAGTCCAGCAATCTTCTCGCACATAACTACCCCGCATGGGATTCGAACCTGCGATCCCACGAAGGGTAATCAGAGATGCGGTGGCGAGCGTATTCCTAACGCTTTAGCACGATGTGCTTGTGTCTGCTGAAATTTCTATTATAGTTTTTAGGAAAATCGAACAAATTTAAACAAGCTTAAACAAACTTTTCTCGATTCAGATTGAGAAGAAAATCGTCGGTGCTGAGGTTGGAATTCTACTCACATTGAAACATCCAAACATTGTGAGTTGTTTTTTGCAAGTTTACTCAGAATATGGCTGTGTGCAATCACTGGCCTTCAGCACTGCTACCTGGCCTAGAAACTGTTCTACTTGTTTCATATTCAGCATTTTAGGTGTCCATAAAGTCTTGGAAATTTTTTAAAAATTGCAAAGGGAATTTATCGATACCATATATTGTTTTGGCTCTCACTAATGTATTGATGGAGTAAAAATACTTGAACAATTGCTGATTGAAAAACAACAAACCTGGATAAGATATATACCTATATTGAGAACTGACTTCAAAACAAATTTGTAATTGTAAAGGAACGATACGGACGCCCTGTATATGGGCCATCTAAGAACCAATTAAAAGTATCGATTAGCCTAGACTAGTTTATTGCAATTTTATGAGACTGGGAATCAATAACTACTGTAATTAAACAAAACCTCAAGAAAAAATGACCAATTAGTTTTTTGATTTATACCCTCTTGGAAAAATAATTGAAAATGGCAAATAGGTTACAAAATCACAATAAGGAATCTAACGTTTGCAACCATGCTTGAAAAAGTGTATGAAAGAGTTTCACAACAAATCTCTATTGTTACTCAAGTCACCATTTGCATTGTTCTGATTGGCCAATGTTACGGAAATAAAACAAGGAAATCAGTGCTTGAGGAAAACATCCCTTCTTTAACAAAAATCTTTGACCTTCAGATCAAACTCAAGGACATATTTGAGACGCCCGAACATATTTATCTTATCCTGGAGTTGGTGACTGGAGGGGAGTTATTCGATAGGTAGGTTTGTGGTAGAGTAGCTTATATGCTTGTGTGTGAGTCAAATATTTTTGAACCAAATATTGTGTCAAAATCAGGAATGTTACTCAATCAGAGGTGCAGATAATTGATGAGTAGGGCTTAGCAGTCATTATGGTCTTGTGTGGGCGCTTCAGAAGTATGTGTACCAATATGGAGGAAACTAATCTTGTTCGTCTATTTTACATCAAGTTTTTGTAAAGCGACTGAAACCTAAGTTATTTAAAGGGACTAAAAAAGGAAAATCGGAATAAAATTATTGCCTAACCCTAACCTGGTACACATTCTACGGGAGTACTGTCTTGTGTATCTTCCTGGTCTGTGTTTACGTTATATTTCCAATCTGTTTCTATAAAGTGAGTTTGGTTATATCTGTGCAGATAGCATTTGGAACACGGCATATTAATAGCACCTATAGATTATTATTACCGGTACTTTATTCAGATTTCTCCTAACTCAAAGAGTGTTTCTTCAAAATAAGGCTTCCCACGGAACTTTGTAATAGGATTTGGGATAGATTTCGTAAACTAAATTGAAATATTTTTAGAATCGTAGAACGTGGATACTACAGTGAACTGGACGCCGCTCATGTTGTGAGACAAGCATTAGAAGCTGTCGCTGTAAGTTGGAATTGATTATTAAATTGAATATCTCCGCATATAGAACTGTTATTGCTACGCAAGAGATCATGTGTATTACAACCAATCACAGACTGTTATTTCTGTCATAACGTACCAAGTGCTGCTTCACGTGTGTACGCTCTTAACATGCACTTATAGTGCGATCAGATTTATGAGCTTAATATCCGACCTCTTAGTTTGCAAAAGTTGGTTATTAAAGTTTTGTTTGGGTTAAAAGGTTTGGAAGAACGTTACACAAAGCATCATTATTTTGGAAGATTGTCAGCTTTGCTAGTATTAATAGCTTTCACTGTATTATGTTCGCCAATCTTCATTTTGCTGCTTGTTCGGCATCCAACAAAGTTGTTTGAAAAAGTTTATTTTTGTAACTTGTCAAGTTCCCTAGCATTAAATGCATTTGTTGAATCAGCGTTCTTCTATCTTTTGGTTTATCTAAACATTGTTGAATATTTCATGAGTGGTTAAACGTGCATGAACAGAAAAGTTTGTAAACTATAGATAATTTAGGTTGAGCAAAATCTATGTCTTAGGACTTTCAGTGAAATGACCACAAAATATCTAAGAGCTACTGAAAATAATATAGAACAGGAGGCAAGGTTTTATGGACAATGGGGCGAACATTTTGACCACGTAGGCTGGCCATATAAGTGTCTCATAAAAAGTTACATGTAATAAACAATATTTACAGTTTTACAAAAGCAAAAGTGGAAAACAATAAGCCTCGTCCTCAAACTAAATCTAATCGCAATCTCAACAAATTCCTTGAACTATTTTTTAGCTAAAATATCAAAATTTGGTTGTAGTGTGGTTGTCGAAGCATCAGGCGGGCCAAATTGAGTTACCTAACGGGCTGGATTTGGCCAGCGGACCGTAGTTTGTAGACCATAGTTTGTCAAGATTTATGATGGTGGACACAAATTGACGTGAGACCTGAAGTAGTTTGAGAAGTAACCAAGTTCGCATAATTCGAATGACATCATTTTTTGTTAAATTTATAAGGGAATCGTTAATGTTATAATTTTATAACAAGATCAAAAAATCCAGTAATCCTTATGCTTAACCCTCATGGGATTTAAACTCATGTCAAACTGATCAGAAACGCAACGTGTCGACACATATTCAGAACAGTAAATTATTCAAGAGCTTCGTGCATTGACACAATCGTTCTATATACCGGGAGTTCTAGTGGATTTGGGGATTGCATTTTTTCAGAAATGAGTTTCCTTTACTTCTGAGTGAGTGCCCGCAACTTTGCTCAGAGATGAGTCTCCTTTACTTCTGAGTGAGTGCCCATAACTTTGCTTAGAGATGAGTCTCATTTACTTCTGAGTGAGTGCCCGTAACTTTCCTCATAAATGAGTCTTCTTTACTTCTGAGTGAGTGCCCATAACTTTGCTCATAGATGAGTCTCCTTTACTTCTGAGTGAGTGCCCATAACTTTGCTTAGAGATGAGTCTCCTTTACTTCTGAGTGAGTGCCCGTAGCTTTGCTCAGAAATGAGTCTCCTTTACTTCTGAGTGAGTGCGCCTAACTTTGCTCAGAGATGAGCCTCCTTTACTTCTGAGTGAGTGCCCGTAACTTTCCTCATAAATGAGTCTTCTTTACTTCTGAGTGAGTGCCCATAACTTTGCTCATAGATGAGTCTCCTTTACTTCTGAGTGAGTGCCCATAACTTTGCTTAGAGATGAGTCTCCTTTACTTCTGAGTGAGTGCCCGTAACTTTGCTCAGAAATGAGTCTCCTTTACTTCTGAGTGAGTGCGCCTAACTTTGCTCAGAGATGAGTCAGTCTCCTTTACTTCTGAGTGACTGCCCGTAACTTTGCTCAGAGATGAGTCTCCTTTACTTCTGAGTGAGTGCTCGTAACTTTGCTCAGAGATGAGTCTCTTTTGCTTCTGAGTGAGTGCCCGTAACTTTGATCAGAAATGAGTCTGCTTTACTTCTGAGTGAGTGCCCGTAACTTTGCTCAGAAATGAGTCTCCTTTACTTCTGAGTGAGTGCCCGTAACTTTGCTCAGGAATGAGTCTCCTTTACTTCTGAGTGAGTGCCCGTAACTTTGCTCAGAAATGAGTCTCCTTTGCTTCTGAGTGAGTGCCCGTAACTTTGCTCAGAAATGAGTCTCCTTTACTTCTGAGTGAGTGCCCGTAACTTTGCTCAGAAATGAGTCTTCTTTGCTTCTGAGTGAGTGCCCGTAACTTTGCTCAGAAATGAGTCTCCTTTACTTCTGAGTGAGTGCGCCTAACTTTGCTCAGAGATGAGTCTCCTTTACTTCTGAGTGAGTGCCCATAACTTTACTCAGAGATGAGTCTCCTTTACTTCTGAGTGAGTGCGCCTAACTTTGCTCAGAGATGAGTCTCCTTTACTTCTGAGTGAGTGCCCATAACTTTGCTCAGAGATGAGTCTTCTTTACTTCTGAGTGAGTGCCCATAACTTTGCTCAGAGATGAGTCTCCTTTACTTCTGAGTGATTGCTTTGAGTGAATCCAACATACAAATCTTCTTTCCTGAGGATTTTATCAGCTTTCCTCTCCCATGTAAAGAAATTAGCTTTTACCAAACACCCAATCAACACATAATAAATAGGCAATATTCAATTGTTTGAACATTAATTGGCACCATGAGTTGGGGGAATAATAATAACCCTACTTAAGATCTGAAATAGACATGGCAAGATCAATAATCTATATTGATTTCCAATTAATTATTATGAATAAGTATGAATCAGACCGGTGCTCTTTAATTAGGAATCAATGAGAATATTAGGGAAAAAAATCCATAGCAAATTCAAAAATTATGGCATGGTTTTGGAGTGAAAAATTTGAATGCCAAAATGCCCTGAATTTCTGCGAATAATTTTAACTCTAATAAGTCCATGAGAATTTAGGAAATTTTTTGTTAAAACTTGGAAAAAAAAAATTTGGGAGGATAAATTCTCAATGAAATAAAAGTTGCCGTTAAAGTTATTCTGGGGAAAAAAAATCAAGATTAAAGTTCCTAGTATCATCGCCGTAGCCGACTTTTGACTTGATTTATTATTGTTTGTGTTCACAATGTTTCATGCACGACGGAAATAAATTATCTGAATATGACAATTTTAAATTGATTGGTTTTTGAGATTAAAGCAGTTCTCACAACTCCCAACAACAATTACGTATCAATCCATATAGTTCAAAATATCCATATACCTCCTCGCAGCTCAATATGGAATCCTATTAAACACCAAATTGATTGAATTTAATTGACAACGTTTCAATCAATTCAACCTTCTTATTTGTTGATTATGTGTTATTCAAATACTGAGATCAGAATGCCAATTAGTATTGATTTCCTTCTGAAACTGACAATTTATTTCTCATATTATTGACGAGGGCTTGATTTTGGATTTCTTTCAAGTGGTCCGTATTTTATACGCTTAACCCAGTCCCTTTGGAACATATTGTACGGATTCCGTATTTTTGGGTTCCTATGTAGTTGCGTATGTTTTGCTATGAATATGCTAGCCACTCGATATTATCAACCTATCGTTTGTATAACAGTCTAATTTGCATATCAAAATATTTTAAAATTAATTTTGTCAAACTTATGCCTCCCTTATTGAAATTTTTTATTGACGTAATGATGAAGGATGTGTGTAACCGGATGAAATATTTTATGACCTTGGAATTGTTAATGACCTTGGCAAGGTTACTCCCGATGGCTTGTTGTGTTAAGACTTGGACATGTATGGATGATTTTGGCAAGCTTACTCCCTACAGCTCATTGTGTTATTAAGACTTGGTCATACATGATTATGCTATTGTTGTATGTATTTCTATCTGTTATCTGATTCAGAATTTATATAAAAGATGTTTTCCACATTTTCACTGAATAATAATACTCTATGCAAGCAGCCAAGCACTCATATGTAAAAGTTACTCTGTTTAGAGAAACTCAAATCCTTCTGATTTTGCAGTGCTTTCCTACGGCTTGTTGCCTTATTAAGACTTGGTCATACATGATTATGCTATTGTTGTATGTATTTCTATCTGTTATGTGATCTGGAATATTTTTAACCCAAATTTGTCTTCCACATTTCACTGAGTAATACTCACCACCACTCACTCATACATAAGAAGTTGTATTTTTGAAAGAACTGTAATCCTTCTGGTTTTACAGTAGAGGTAAGATCGGGCCCAAGAATTTTAGCCCGGCCCGACCCAGGCCCGTGGGTATTAAACCCGACCGAGCCCGACTGGATTAACTGATTAATTAACTGGATTTAAAGGCCCAAGCCCGAAGCAAATCGAAATTTCATATTTTATTAAGGAGTTCTTTGAGTTGACATTGCAAGAGTTTAGTACAGTACGGCCGAAACGCCACGTTTAAAAAAAAGTCAGCGATAGAGAAACCCGACCCGAACGTAATGATTGACATTTTAGGTCGGACTCGGGCTTCATAGCTTAGCTCTATTTTACAGTGTTTCGCCTTAGGTGGGCGCTGAGTTCCAACATAGTTTGATCCAACTATTCAACCCAGTGGTTTTAAACTTTTTTGGTGGCATGGAACACAATGAAGCGTTTCAGAGGGCAGTAACCTCCGTGCAATGGTTTAATTTAATTGTCTTTTATTGTCTGAATTGTACAAACTATAAAATATTATACAGCAAACATAATACTGGCAGAATAAAATGATCTTTAAAGTGAAATGAAACATTTCAGAACCCCTATGCAATGGTTTTATTCTAGTTTTATTGCATGAATTGTATAAACTATGAAATATAATACAGCAAACTTTTATTCTAGTTTTATTGCATGAATTGTATAAACTATAAAATATTATACAGCAAACATAATACTGGCAGAATAAAATGATCTTTAAAGTGAAACGAAACATTTTAGAACCCTATGCAATGGTTTTATTCTAGTTTTATTGCATGAATTGTAGAAATTTTTATAAAAGCGGATCTAATATTTGCGGTTTCAAATGAAATGATCTTTATAATA